TATATATATATATATATAATATATTTATAAAATTTTGTTATGGAAACTTAAAACAGAAAACTAGCCTTGTCAGCTGGGGAAGACATTGTATCATCCAAGACACCTCCCTGAAGAAATGACATTAAAAGTAAGACCTGAAGAATAATTAACTTAAGTGGTTTAGGCTGGGGATGTAACTCAGTGTGTGCTTAGGATATGTGAGGTCCTGAGTTTGAATTCCTAGCAACACGGGAGGAGTGTAGGTTATTTGAATTGTATTATTATTGCCCTTTCTCTCAAATGACAGCCTTTCTGATAACCAAGCATTTGACTAATTTCCTCACATACACATACAAAGGATATATAATAGAATCTTCAGTATATTTAGTAGGGTACATCGGATCATTGAGTAGCAGTAATCTCACCAGACCAAAATCAGAGTTTGAATAATTCCTGTCAGGAGAATTTTAAAGACCCAGCATCTCTAATGGAGATCCTATAAAAAGATTTTGTAAAAAGTCTATCATTGATTGTCTCTGCAGTCATTAGTATCAAAGATATATATATATTTTTTAAAGTCATTTATCTCCTGTCAAGACCTCCAGAACTCTACTTAAGGAGGTCCTATTACCTATGAAACTAAGCTTTGTGACATCTGAATTAGCCAAGACAAGAGGCACATTGCTCTTTAGTCCTACAAGAAATCACTTAACAGACTGTAGTTACATGGAGAATTTCAAATATCCTTTTCTGTAATATTTACAAACTGTTTTATCACCTTTTAAAGTCATACCTATTATGTAACTCTTAAATCTCTTCCAGTTGCTTTCTGCATTATTTATAATAAATTAAAGACTAGATGAACTGATAAAACTGATTTGTTTCAAAATTATCCAGGTAGGTAAGGTGGTATTGAATAAGAAGTTGTGTAGATGAAATACAGTTAGCCAGTTGATCATTGTCAAAGTTACGATGAGTACATGGAATTTATTTTATATTCTTGCTACTTTCAATAGAGAAATTTAATAAAAAGTTTGAAGAAACTAAGAAATATGCACTGTTTTGATAAGGGATATTACAAAATCCTATTCCCCAAACAATTTAATGTTGAATAAGTTATTTTTTTAAAATCTTTACTCTTTATTACTTGTAAATCTTTACTCTATAGCTGCAATAAAAATTACTTAAATTAGCTCTGCTGACTTTTAGAAAAATGTTAGGTGCTTAGAGAATGGTCTCAAGTAAGATAACTAGAATCTTCAGATTCTAACAGGACAGTGTGACTGCTTATAACTAAGGTTTCCAGGTGAAGCTTCAAAAAGTGTCATATTCATGACAGTGACTAGTGCTGAGAAATCTTTGAAGTCAGTGTGACAGGGAAGAGTTGACATAAATAACTACCCTTCCATTTGAAATGATAATCAATAATAGGAACTTGTAGAACAGTGATTCTCACGCCACTTGTATGTCTGAATTACCTGGGGAGTTTTACAACTACAGAGATTTGGCTCCACCACTAGAGATTGAGGTTCATTTAGGGTTGTGCTCAGACATTAGTATTTCCTAAGTGATTCTAATGTGCAGAAAGAATTGAAAGCTATTTTAAGTCCTAACCAAAGCAGCTTTTTCAGCTCTTTGAAAAATCTTTCTCTAGTGAATAGAGTTGTTCCTTCCACTGAATTGCATTGCTGTCTGTTCTATGGATTTTACACTGATTTATCTATCATAATACAGAACTAGTTTCATCACAAGCTGCTTGGTACTAATTCACAGTCTTCAGTGTTGAATCAAGATATTTTTTCTAAATCAAAGTTGAATTAAAATTATATTTTGAGCAGGGCATGGTGGCACATACCTATAATCCGAGCACCTGGGAGGCTGAGCCGAGAGGATCACCTTGAGTCCAAGGCCAGCCTGAACTGTACAGCAATACCCTGTCTCAAAAAAGAAAACAAACAAAATTTTATATTTTGACCCAAACATCCCCTTTAAATTTCATCAGTAATGAATGAAGGTACTATATTTTTCTAAATTTATATAAGCTTCAAATTACTGTATCTTGAAGATGTGCTTTTTGAATGTTTTCTAATATATATTACAATTTTTGCTTTTGAATTCTCAA